GGGGCGGGGGGTGGGGTGCGTGGGCTTCACTCCACCATTTTTGCTGATATCACCATGAAAGTTAATTATGGGCTTTGTGGAAGCCCTAGCCCAGTACATAATCAATTAGTGAGAGCTACAACAAGATGTAGTGCTTTTTCCCAAAGGAGTCCATTATCCTTCACCTGTCTCACCTATCTCATCCTAAAACCCATGTCCTTTAGCCAGAATCTTACTTGAGAGATCGTTTTGGGTTCCAGGCCTTCCAGTGTTGAACGACCTCTTACATGGCTTCGTTCCAGCAGCTCGTCCTCTGGGGCATATGCCAGTACTCCTGAGGCTGAGCTCATGGCAGTGGGTGCTGACTTGGCCATGATTTGCTGCATTGGCACTTGTCATCATTTTGTTTTTGTTTTGTGGAATTGGGGTTTGCTGCTCACATTTTACATGCAGAGAGCAGCAGATGCTCACAGTCACGCTCAATTCATTTCCGTCATGGAGTTGGACTTCTTACAGAACTCCAGTTTCCAAGGTACTTATACAACTTAATTTTTCTGAGAGGTTTACCATTTAAGGCTCCTAAAAGCAGCAAACATTAGCATCTAAAAGATATCTATGTTTATTTTTTCAATCTTCTCCATATAATGATTAATGATTCCAATTTCCTTACATCCCAATGAAACAGATCCAACCAGGTAAAGTGGTGTAAACATGTCATTCTAGGAAGATCACAGCTAGGAAGGGAACTCACATCCAAGCTGCTACTGCTGCTGCTTTTGCCACCTTTCCTATCCCCTGAGCACCTTTTTATCAGAGCACCATGCAGAGTACTGTGCAGGTGCTGGCCCGTTTGTAAGTGTTGGTATGTATGTCAAACATGGCTTAAGTTAGAACAGTCGCCGCATGCCTGTCATTCATTTTGAAAGTGAGCCTTATTCTCTATAGCAGCTTCATGACTGGTTTTACAAGGAACCCAGAAGAGAATACAACCTTTTAAGAATGGTTTTGACGTGGAGAAGGCTCACTGCTTTGCAAGGGGGTATATCATTTTTGCATAGAAGCAACCATTAGCTCTTTCCATCATTCCAACTTTAATAGCTGGGTTGCATGGCTGTGCTTTTCTTGGCTCCTGACTTCTTCCAGACCTGTGGGGTCTGCAGGAAGAGCCTGGGCAGTGGGCCCTGCCTTGGGGCTCTCACTGTGCCCCCACATTACTTTTCATTTCTGTGACATCTTTCTCATTCAAAATGACGAACGAACCTTTGTGCTGTGCAGGTTGTAGTATTCAGTGACAGGGTAGTGTGAGCTCTTTGTGCACATAATTCCATGTTATGAAAACCTTTCACCAACTGCTTAAATTGGCTGCTTTGAAGTGCACATTGTGTATGGCATAATCTGTATTATTAAGAATATGAATTGGGGAATTAGCATTAGATCTTTCAGAAAGAATTGGGAATTCAAAGAGAAAGACTTGCCTTCATTCTTCAGTCTTGATTTAGGGTATGTTATTTAACATGTCATTTCTTCTAAGTATCTGACTTCAGTTTCTTCATGGGACTTGCTGAGATGATTTCAAAACTTTTGTTTAACTATATTTGGGGAAAATTTACCGAGATATTTCTTAAAGAAAACGATCCTTTCTTCAATTGCTGCTATTTCTGAAAGATCAACCAGAGTTTGTGGTTTATGATAAGCCATAGATATGGTCTGTGTTGCTAGACAGACATGTACAGAAAGCATCATTGAGGTTGAGTCTCTGTCTTTAGGAGCTTGGCATCAAGGATGAAGAACATGAGCACGTATGAAGATGTGAGGAGACATTCTGACAGTAGAATACTAAGACGCTGACTACGTATGTTTGTGTGGCTTTCTCTTTTTTTTTTTTTTTTTTGAGATGGAGTTTCCTCTTTCACCCAGCCTGGAGTGCAGTGACACAATCTTGGCTCATTACAACCTCTGCTTCCTGGGTTCAAGTGATTCTCCTGCCTCAGCCTCCTGAGTAGCTGGGATTACAGGTGCTTGCCACCATGCCCAGGCAATTTTTGTATTTTTAGTAGAGGTGGAGTTTCACTATTTTGGCCAGGCTGGTCTCGAACTTCTGACCTCAGGTGATCCACTGGCTTCAGCCTCCCAAAGTGCTGGGATTACAGATGTGAGCCACTGCACCTGGCACCTATGTGTGTCTCTCACTCGTATCATTTTGAATTAATTCTATGAGCTAAGACACAAAGTCATACTAAGAAATGAAGCATTTCCTGGAGTTCAAGAATTTCAGGGTTACCTTCTTGACTCACAGAAGCTTTTTTTTTTTTCTTTTCTTTTTTTTTTTTTTTTTGAGACAGTCTCACTCTGTCACCAGGCACCAGGCTGGAGTGCAGTGGCATGGTCTCGGTTCACTGCAACCTCCGCCTCCCTGGTTCAAGCAATTCTCCTGCCTCAGCCTTCCAAGGAGTTGGGACTGCAGGTGCATGCCACCACGCCCAGCTAATTTTTGTACTTTTAGTAGAAATGGGATTTCATCATGTTGGCCAGGATGGTCTTGATCTCTTGACCTCGTGATCTGCCCACCTCGGCCTCCCAAAGTGCTGGGATTATGGGCGTGAGCCACCACGCCCGGCCGGACTCATGGAAGCTCTGAATTCACCCTTTCACTTTGTTTGTGCATTTCAATTCAATAGATTGGTTTGTTCAACAGCATTCAAGCACAGGCTCTCTGGGCAAGGTCTCCGCTACCTCTCAGATTCATCTTCTATTGCTGTGTGACAAATTACCCCAAAACATAGTGGCTTAAAGCAACTTAGAGGCTTTGTTGGGTTGATTGGGCTTGGGTGTCTCATGAGACTGCAGTCAAGATGCTGAGTGAGGTTGCAGTCACCTGAAGGCTTGGCATCCCAGATAGCTCACATTGCTGAGAAGCTGATGCCAGATGTTATAGGAGGCCTCTTCTCCTCACCATAAGGGCTGCAGTCTTTCCCAGAGCAAGTGGCCCAAGAGAGAACAGGGCAGAAGCTGCAATGTCTTTTTCTCGTGGCCTTGGGTGTTAAGACTCTGGGGTCTCCTTTGGCTCTAAGGATCAGTGCTGTTCCATGTGGGAACATCTATATCTAGGGTGTAAATCCTGGGAGGTGAAACTCAGGAGGCCATCCTGGAAGCTGGTTATGGTGGCCCTGGAGATCTGGAGGTGAGTCTGCCCCACCATTCCCTCCTCAGGTAAGCAAGTTTCCACGGGACAGTCCTTGCTTAAAGAAATAAGCCAACTGATTGGAAGAGCCTTTGACAAACAGTTTACCAGTGTGCTCCTTGGTACACGCCTGTTATCCGAGAGCGCACAACCCCAAGCCTCGTTCCCTTCTTCAGCCTCTCCTTGAGGGACTCTCCTGGAGTGCCCATTGTATACTTCACCGTTCCTTGCCGAGGTCAGCTTGGTAGGAGAAAAATCGAGGCTCTGGGTTACACCCACAAGCTGGCTTTAACCCCCTCTCATTTCTGACTTCAGTCCCCATGGAAAGAATCCTGGGTGCCTCATCCATTGCTGGAGGCCCTGTGATTAGTCCAGGGAGCACGGATCCCACCGGAAGCTGGCTTATGTGCCCGGGTGGCCGCTTTCTCTGCACCTGCAGCCTCTCTTGGAGTGGTTGTATACACCCAACGCATATGTTGAAGTTCAGATCCCTGGAACCTGTGACTGTGACCTGATTTAGAAAAAGGGTCTGTGTGGGTGTAATTAGGTAAAATGAGATCATGATGGAGTAGCACGAGCCCTCCAACCAAAATGACCGGTGCCTTCGTCAAACGAGAAGAGACACAGAGACAGAGGAACACAGAGGAAAGACAGACACATGACAACGGCGGCAGAGACTGCTGTGATGCATCTGCAAACATCGCCTGGATTGCCAGCCACCCCAGAGCTAGGAAGAGGCCAGGGAGGACCCTTTCCAGGAGCCTTTGAAAAGAACGCGGCACTGCCGACACTCTGTCCCTGGACTTCTGGCCTCCAGAACTGTGAGACGATCAGTTTCTATTGTTTGAAGTCCCACAGTACATGATACTTTCTTACAGCAGCCCTGCGAACCCGACACGCCGTCCAGGGAAATCACATCTGATTACTGCGTCTCTGTGACCTGCCACGCACTTAAGAACTTTACTTGAATTTATTAAAAAATTCCTTACATCAATCGAATGGAGGAACACAGCAGAACAAACACTAGGTGAGGATGTTATTTGACCAGGGACTCCGCGAGGAGTCGGGACTTGAGGACGTCCAGTCCTGAACCAGTGAGCTGGCCGAGATCCAGATGTCAGCGCTCAGCGCTGGCCAGTGCTGCGCCCCGCAGGCCTCCTGCACAGACAGGGCACTGTCTCTGAGCGGTGGGCAGTCCCCAGGGGGCTGAGTACTTCCTCCTCCCCACCAGCCCCGCCTGGGAGAGGCTGGGAGTGCACTCACCTGGGCTGCCCCTCGGGGCCACCTGGGAGGCTCTGACTTCTGCTGAGGGTGGGTTGGAGAAGGCACTGAGAAACTTCGGGACTGCAGGAGTCCCTTTTAATACAGAGACGCTCAGTCAAGACCATTTCTCTACGATCCAGTAAGCATTTCGTTGTATTCAGCGTTGGGGAGGAATGGGCCTGGGTATTGAGGAACCATTTCCAGGGAGCTGGGGGCACAGCAGGAACAGAGAAGCCAGCGCCTTCTCTCCACACACCCCCAGGGATCAAGGAGGTCACAAGGTGTCCTCAGGGTGGTGCCGACCACCACCTGGAGCTACCTCTGACAGGGAGCCCTCGTCTACCGGCGGGGGCCTTTGGAGATGTCTCCAGGAGCTGAGATGTCTTTGCGGGGGCCTTTGGAGGTGTCCAGGGAGCTGAGTCTCCAGGAGACGCTGGGGAGGGTGGGTGAGGAGGGCTGACCACAGGCAGCAGCCACGGGAGGGCTGCACCCGACTCGGGGGTGGGGGCCAGCTTTTCTTCTCCTTCCTTTTCTATTTACTTAGATCTAAATGACTTCAAATCCATCCATTTTTCAGTTTACGGGCAAGTGTTCTCTGCCTTGATTGTGATCATCGCCGCAGCCTTCATCATCACCATCATCTACAGGTCGGTCCCTTTGTTCTTTCACCTCGAGGGTGGGGAGGAGGGACTCACCACTCCCAGCCGCAGCCTCCTGCCTGCCTGGGCCCCTTCGGGCTTGGCGCTGCGGCGGTGACTGGGAGCAGCGCTCTGCTGGGCAGGCAGGGAGGGCCCCACCGATTTTCCCAGAGAGCTTGTTGATGAAAACCATAACCCACATTGAGTGAGCTCTGCTCATCCTGTTCAGCCCTTGCAGCCACTCATGGCGTAAGGGCCATTACTGTCCCTGGATCGGGATGATGGATGCAGCATTGAGGGGCCCGCAAGGCTGATGGATGGGGCAGTGAGGCTCTAACCAAGGCCCCCATTTGTCTCAGAGCCCCGGAAGCCAGGGCTGCCTGCGCCTCTTGGCCTCGGCCTCTGTCCTTGCTGCGGGGTGTCAGGGTTTGGAGGTGTCTCAGAGATGAGTCTACTTTCTTTCATTTTAATGGTGAGGAAATGCAGACCCGGGGAAGCAAGGCAGCCCGTGGCTGTCCCGAGGGCAGGACTGGAATCCAGCATCTCACTCCCCAGCCAGGCACCTTCGCCATGAGCCCGCTCTGTGACTTGCACGCAAGCCCCTGAGTATTTGAGTCTCTCTGTCCAGGAACGAGTAAAGCCGTTTTCCTGCCGTGAGTGGTGCTATATGCTGTCTTATGTGTTCATTATGAAGATGAAGCCTCAGTAACCTGTACACACCCCCACCCCCCGCCCGGAGCTGTCTTTGGGAGTCTAGCTGCCTCAGACAGTCATCTGTTTGGAGCCTGCATAAGAAACTAATACAAGCCTGGATGTGGTGGCTCCTGCTTAGAATCTCCCAGCACTTTGGGAGGCTGGGTGGGAGGATCGCTTGAGCCCAGGAGGTGGTGGCTGCAGTGAGCTGTGTTTGTGCCACTGCACTCCAGCCTGGGTGACAGGGCCTGACCATCTCCAAAAAAAAAAGAAAGAAACGAAAATGAGAACTATTACATCAAAGCATTTACCTTGAAAAATAGATATGCGTGATCATGAGCCAATGTTTTCAGAGGGATGTGTGGATGGGCGGGTGGGGGACTGGAGAGTTTCCTCTCTTAACTTCTCTGACTGTGATAAAACCTTCTTCCCACCAGAGTTGTTCAGGAGATCAGGAGAGAGAAGGCCATCCTAACGGATGCCAAGCTGTCACAGAAGTCCAGTGAAAAGGTGGAGATGGCCTCATCCAGCAGCAAGCCAGGGCTGACGCCTCTAGGTGCTGGGCCCTCACTTGGTGAGGGTGACAAGGTGAAGAGTGAGGAGGCTGAGGATGATGGTGAGAAGCTTCTGGAATGATCCTCAGCTTCGGGTCGAGGGCACGGCTCTGTTCCCTCAGGATACCTTCCCCTGAAAGGCGCTCAGCACCTGCCCCGGCCGTTCAGTCTCAGTGATCAGTGTTGTAGCTTGTGCAGAATTCTAATTTACCCGACTGTGGAGACTCAGGTTTGCAGGGTGGGTGTGGCTGTCTGAGAGTTTCCCTCTCTGAGTGTTGTCCTCCCCTTTCCTGTCCCCTTCTGTCTCCCTGTCATTTCGCCCTCTGGCGGGGCCCTCAGTGTTAGTGGGGGAGGCTCTCGGAAAGGGATGAGGTCCAGCAGAGCCTGCGCATTTGATTGAGTGACCCTCCGGGAGGCTGCAGGGCCGCCACGGCTACTCTCTGTGGCAGCCTGACCACATGGCGGTCATGGTTGGAGAGGTGGACGATCACTCTGTGCCTGCCTCGGTTTCCAGGAAGGAAAGTTGCTCATATGTTGGTTTATCCGCTTTGAAGGCCCTTGGAGGTTGCTGGTTGCTTTTCCTAGATCAGCAACTTAGCAGATTAGGGAAAGAAACCTCTCAAATGGTAAGCCTTATCTTCAGAGATGTTTGTACAGGAATGTGAATGGCCTGGCCTTTTCCATTGTTACCAAGTAGATGTGGTTTTATAGGGACCATCAGGAAAAGCAGGAGGCAGGGTAAGAGGGTGACTCACACTTGATTCCAGGTCTGGAATGCCTGGCCCCTAACTGCGGCTGTGTCTGTGGAATGAGGCTTTCCTGCAGGACGGATGTTGGCCTGGTGTAGGGAGCCTCCTGTGTAGTGTGACTGTGGGAGGAAGACTGTTTTGCTGCCTTAAAAAGATGCTTCTCCCTGGAACGCACTGAGAAACCCAGGGCAGCTATGGCCACCCCCCAAAACTGGCTTTTGAGTCAATCATTGCCAATCGGACGCCACGTAGATGTGTTCAAAGACCCTGATGAAATATTTTCGGGACTGCTGAATAGTCCATTTGAAAAACAATTCTTCTTTTCTAAAAATCTAGTAACAGTGACAATAACAGAAGCCGAAGAAACTGAGGACTGACTACAATACATGAAGATGTGAGGTTGGCAGAATTACCCAGAGGAAACGGCACAGCACGTGGACTGTTAACTGTGTGATGGAATGACCACCCAATGAGAAAAAGATAAAGGTATTTTGAAAATTGCTTCTCGTCTGATGTTGCTCATTCATTGCTATATTTTATCTTAGGAGAGAGAAAGCCTTTGGGGTGGGAGAGTGGGAACCTGAACTTTTAGTTTTTAGTGGCACCACTTGTCACTGATATTGACGCCGCGGGGGCTCACCGCGTGGGCACAGGGTGGTGTCCTGGAGGTGCCTGCACTTTCACCAAGAGTGGGCTGCCGCACGGACACAGGCAGCTCAGGTCTCCGGCCTTTGGCTTTGCTGGGACTTAGTCACACTGCAAGGGAGGAGCAGTGTCCAGGTCTGGATCTGAGAGGCCCCAAAGCATCGGCCGCAGCTTCCTGAGAGCCCCTTCTCCATGGCAGAGTGCGCTCAGTCCCAGAGCGGCCGACGGACACTCACAGGCCGGCCCAGGGCAGCCCACGGAGCTCGGAGGCTCCGTTTTTTCACCTCGGAAATGTGCATCGGCACAGCAGCTGTGGCCCTCAAGTCCACGAATTGCAGCTTAAAAAAGAAGGATGATCAACAATCCAGATAGACCAGACGTATCCTGCTCCAAGGATTATTGAGGTGAGAGCGGTTTGCAGGAGCCCCGAGAAGCCCTGCGTTGGTTTTCTGGCTGGTAAACCCCGTCCGCTGCTGATGGGCTTGGCCCCGGGCTGCACCTGAGCTTGAGCTTGGCTCGAGGTCTGCTCCACTCTGGGGCTTCCTGCAGGGGGACGTTACGGCCCGTGTTAGCCCTTTTCTTCTGTGGGCACCTCGCCGGCCTTCGGCCTGTCGGCTCTCGTATTGATGTCGATCAGGCATCAGCACAGTTTTTGTGAAGGGCCACAGAGCCAGTATTTCAGGCTTCACGTCCTTTCACAGACACAGCCGCAGTTAGGGGCTTCACGTCCTGCAATACTGGCTCTCTGGTGTGATTTCCCTGGTGGGATGACTCCAACCTCCATTCTGGTAGAATCTGAGTTCTCGGGTGTGGTCTTGATTTAATTGTCATAATTTCCCTTTGACTGGGACTATTTAGCAAGGACGTCCCAGGTTTCCCATCGGATTCCCTGGGTTCTAGGCAAACTTCTTCTATTTCCTCTGGTGAGTGTACAACTTCCCCTACCCTGGCCCTTGGTTCAGAGGATGAAGAGTTGCAAATGGCCAGTGGAGGTTTTGGCTTCCAATCCTTAGAAGCAGGACCGTGTTCTCTGGTAGAAGCGCTCCCGCCTTGGCCCCAGAGCCTCCTACCCACCACTGTTTTGGTTTCTGTCTCTCCTTAGCACACCTCCTAATACCTAGACCGGCTGAAAACACCACCAATCACGCATGTGCTCAAGATGATCCATTTGGGTGGGGCTTGATGGGGAAACTTGCGTCTGCTCCAGGCGGTATCAGGTGGAGCATCCCACCCGGGGCCGGGCACCCACCTCTCATGCTGAAATGTGATACTTCCAAAAAGGCTCCTAACACAACTATCCCCTTGGTGCTGGTTGTCAGCTGGGAGGTGGTAGCCAGGGCTTTGCGTTTTCCTCCATCTGGCCTCTCTATGTGGCCCACTGGGCTTCTCACAGCACCACTGCTGGGTCTGGGAGAGAATATTCCAGGAATATCCCATTCTACAAACAGGGGGATGAACCCCAAAGGGCAAACTCTAACCAAGTGCCGGCACCATGTTTCCTAATGCTCCATCGGGCACGGCTGGTCGTGGCCAAGCTCAGAGGCAGTTTGGGAGAGTACAACCCAGAGACATGAACAAGCAGGCATGGTTTGTTGGCATCACCAGATAGGCGACCGTAGCCATAAAATATGCCCCTTGGTTAGAGGTGACTTTGCTGGTGTCAGCAGAAGTACTGTGAGCAGGGAAGGCAAATACACACCTGGGACATTGTCTATGGCTGCGAAGATACAGTGTTGTCTACTTCATGATGGAAGGGCCCAATGTACTCAACCTGCTAACAGGTGGTATCTGGTCACCCTGAAAAATGGCTCCACATTGATCTCTGGCAAAGGTAGGTGGTTGAGTTATCAGCCCTGGTCAGAAGAAGGTTGGGCCGCTGAGCCCATGCATAGCTTCCATCCCTGCTGCTGCGGCTGCTCTGTGCATGAGCCCTTTGAGCAAGCCTCAGGGTTGCCGAGGAAGGGCTGGTTGACATTCATGGGATATCAGATTGTTCGTGTAATTTTTAAATGCCTCCCTGCGGTGGGTGTCTTGTGGTGGACATAGGTTCTGACAGGTTCACATGTGTGTTTCTCACCTTGACCCCTGATAGAGTTTGGATACTTGTCCTCAGCCAAATCTCATATTGAAATGTGATGCCCAGCGTTGGAGGTGGGACCTGGTGGGAGGTGTGTGGATCGTGGGGGCAGATCCCTCATGAGCAACCTGAGCCATCCTCCGGGTGACAAGTGAGCTCTCTGAGCTCACACGAAATCTGGTCATTTAAAAATGTGGTGCACCTCCCCCCACACCCTCCTTCCTCTGCTTTCGTCATGTGATGCACCTGCTCCCCCTTCTCCTCCTGCCATGATTGGAAGCTTCATGAGGCCTCACCAGAAGCTGAGCAGATGCTGGTACCATGCCTGTGCAGCCTGCAGAACCGTGAGCCACCTGAACCTCTTTTCTTTATAATTCTTTGTAGCAGTGCAAGAACAGCCTAATACAACCCCGTTGACACCAATTTCCCAGTCTTATCCTCTCCAAGCCCATGGCCAGCTGGTCAACCCATGAGTCAGCACCCCAGGCCATGTCTTCTTCCACAGAAAGTGGATGGTGGATCATGCCACACACTTTGCTTACTGGGAGGATCTCCCTTCATCACCGGGTTTTGTGTGAGGCTGCAGCACAGGATCTGCCTACTTGCTGCAGGGCTGGAGTACTGTATAGGTCCACCCATGAACCTACACTTGAAAGAACTGGTTTCTGCCAGAGCCTAATAGCAAGCCAATAGCTGCTTTTGAAAAGGAGATTTTCCAACAGAGTAGGGGATAACCTAACTCAAACTTTTAGAGATTTGTGCTGGTGATTCTCCTGTTAGAACTTGCTAGATGAGTCCCTACAGTTTCTAAGTATGATTCAATTCAGACTCTTCTCGAGGTCTTAGGCCTCCAGAGCCATGCAGGACAATGCAGAAGACTGGCATTGTCCTGAATAAGGTGATTGTATAATTTATAACCCGAACCCAGACTTCTGAGAGTGAAAGAAGTGCTATTGCGAATTCTGCCAGAATAACAGGAATACCTGGGCCTTGGCAATGAAGCAACTCATTGAAGGGATACTGCCGTTGCTGCTATGTGAAGGCAATTTCTTCTTTATGAATGCACTGAAATAAAATATTTTTCAAACTGACAGCTACTAACTGGTTGCATACCAGCTGATTTATTCTAGTAAAGGGAAACGTGTAATTACACCTGCCATTGTTACCAACACCTCACGAAATCTGCGTGCACTTGCTGTTACTCTCCAAGACCCATGTGGCTGTTATATTTGCTAAACAGGCGAGATAAATGAAGACTGTGGCAGGAATCATCACTATATTAGTCCATTTTCACACTGCTGTGAAGAACTACCCGAGACTGGGTGATTTATTAAGAAAAGCGTTTAATGGACTCACACTTCTGCAGGCCTCATGGGATGCATGACTGGAGGCCTCAGGAAACTTGCAGTCATGGTGGAAGGTGAAGGGGAAGCAAAGACTTTCTTTACATGGTGGCAGGAGAGAGAGAGAGAGAGAGAGAGAGAGAGAGAGAGAGAGAGAGAGAGAGAGAGAGAGAGAGAAAGGGGAAGTTCCATATACTTCTAAATCATCAGATCTCGTGAGAACTCACTGTCATGAGAACAGTAAGGAAGAAATCTGCCCCCATAATCCAGTCACCTCCCACCAGGGCCCTCCTCCAATTTGACATGAGATTTGGGTGGGGACACAAATCTAAGCCATATCAATCCCCAGGCGCCAGGTCTTTGGTGGAGGCACTAATATTTGAAGTCTCCTTGGGGTATTATATTACTTTCCTTAACATCTTTATTGAGGTGTTATTAGCGTATACAAAGTGCACATATTTAAAGTGCACAATTTTGTAAGTTGTGGCATATGAATCCATCCATGAAGTCATCACTACAATCAAGTAAATGAACACATCCATCACGCAAAAGTAGAGTCAGGCTACTTTGTGATCTCCCACACCTGCCCTTCTTCATCCTTCCTGTCGTACTCAACAACCATGGATCTGCTCATTGATACCAGAGATTAGTTTTCATTTTCTATAAATGGAATCATAGAGTATGCATTCTTTTTTGTCTGATTTCTTTTACTTAGCATAGGTATTTTGACATTCAGCCATGTTAATGTATTTATCACTGGTGCATTGCTTTTTATTGCTAAGTAGTATTCCTTCATCTGCATATTCCACATTTGTTTATTCAGTTACTTGTTGATTAGCATTTAGATGGTTTCTAGTTTTTGCTTATTATCGATAAGTCTTCCATAAATATTCACATCCAAGTTTTGTGTGGATATATGTTTTCATTTCTTTACATACCTAGGAGTGAAATGGCTGGGTCACATGGTAGATGTATATTTAATTATTTATTTTTGTTTGAGATGGAGTCTTGCTCTGTTGCCAGGCTGGGGTACAGTGGTACGATCTTGGCTCACTGCAACCTCTGCTTCCTGGGTTGAAGCAATTCTCCTGCCTCAGCCTCCCATGTAGCTGGGACTACAGGCATGTGCCACCATGCCCAGCTAATTTTTGTGTTTTTAGTGGAGATGGAATTTCACCGTGTTGGCCAGAATAGTCTCGATCTCTTGATCTTGTGATTTGCCCACCTCAGTCTCCCAAAGTGCTGGGATTCCAGGCATGAGCCACTGTGCCTGGCCGTATATTTAACTTTTTAAGAAACCGACAACCTGTTTTCCATTTTTAATTCCTACCAGCAGCTGAGAGTTCCAGTTGCTCCACACCCTTACTGAGACTTGTCTGGCCAGTGTTTTCAATGTTAGCTCTTCTAGCAGGTGCATACAATCATCACATGGTGA